CTCTTCATCCTCTGGCCTGCTCAGTAGGGCATGCGAACTAAGGCTCTTCAAAGAGGGAGAGGCTACTTGCAGAATTACTGGAAGAATGTGGAGCCTGAGGAAGAGTTGTAGACATGCCCATCTGTTCAAGTATGAATTTTGTAAGTTTGCAAGGAAGACGAGTTGTTTTGATGCTCTGCAAAATCAAAGACACAGCACACCCAGGAAAAGCCCTACCAAGGCTATTAGTGATAAATATTAACATATTAACATATGAAGTGACCAGCAACGGCAGATCGGCTTAAGTGGAAGGGATAAAAGAACAGGCAGAACAAGAATTCACATTATGAATCGAAGTAAGGAAGAAGTCCAAACTGTTGAAAAATACACTTGTTCCGAAAAAATCCTGCAGCCACACAGGTCATAAGTGGCTCACCCTCTCTATTTTTAAGTTCTGAAGTGCAATAATTTTAGTATAGTGGTTAGATTTCTCAGGGCAGCAGATGGACCACATTTCAGTTTCAAGTAAGTTCTAAGTTTAGAGCAGTGCTAGAGCTCATTTGTGGCAGAACAACTCTCCAAAAACCAAAAAAACCCACCCAAAAAAACAAAAAACCAAACAAAACCCCACCTTACCTAGACAGGATTTTTATAATGACACTTAAGTTTGATTTGGAAAAAAAAAAAAAAAAAAAAAAAAAAAAGTAAGACAAGCTATATTTTTGACTGCCTAAGCTGAAGTTTAAATACTGATTTGTCCTAAGCAGGTAGACAAACCAGGGAAAATCTGAAGGAGAAACACTGCAGTAAGTTCTAAAGGTACCCAATATGTTCCCACTCTTCATGGGAATCATCCACTAAACCCCATTTTTAGTTTAGACTGCTTCCACCTGGAATGACAGTCTAGTTGATACAGAGATAAAGGGTCACTCATTAATAGCATAAAGGATGGAAGTCAAAGGTCTGGCATTTTGTTCTTTCATCTTTTAAATGACAGAATTACAGCCATTCACTCGAGCTTTATCAGCATACTCTGTTGTTTTCTATCACTTTAGCAAGCCTCATCCTGTTATACAACACACAGCCAGAGGTGCTTTGGGATGTCTTCTCCAAATATTAAGCAGTTTTAGATCACACTAAACAATAACAACTCAAAAGTTTAAATAAACATCTAGTAAAGACTACAGCATATGGGGTAGATAGAGAATAATTAAATTATTCTCTGAAGTTTAACATCTATATTAGGCAACCTTCTTGAAGTAGCTTTCTGTTGCAATAAACTCCGCTCTACTGTTATGGGAATGGTAACTGGACGGGTAAGTCATACTTTCAAGAGATCATAGATACGATCCTTACCGGTAGGAGACCACATGGGTCACTGAATGAGTTCCTGAATCTCACAGCTGAGGCTTCTTGCTTGATTGTCACTAAGAGATTATTGTTGTATGAGAGTGCCAGAGCAGAAAAGATGACAGACAATGAAAGCTACCTCAGACTTCACGCAGCGATTAAAGTTACTCAGAAACTCACTGCCATTTCTCTGGATCTTTAACCCTAACTGTGTTACAGACAGAAACATTAAACATCTTGGATGTGGGGAGAGGGTCCAGCTTCCTGACTGAGAAGTGAGACCCACTTCTTTTAGTTGGTTATGCATTTCCAGGCGTTCGACATCTTAGTGTGGTATATCTGGACCACTGAAAACCTACTTGTGCCTCCTGAACTCCTCTATATTACACCATGTTTTCATAATCTCTTTGATTTCTGCATACTGCAATAGGTGCTTAACACTATATTCCGCCTCTACTTCGATTATTTTCTCCTGAAAGCAGAATGCATTCTCCATTTCTTTATTCTCACCAGAACCCTCTGCCTAAAAAATATTATAGCTTTTTTTTGGGTGCAAACCACCATGTTAGCCAAAACACAGACGTGTGAATAAATTATTCAGAGGCATTCAAATTCTTAAAGATCTCATAAAACCAGAATTATTCTGAAGAAGACGAGGGCAGAGCTTGGCATGGCTCTTCAAACCCTTCCACTTGACAAGGCATAACACCAGTAACAACCAGGTGTAGTACATACGTAAATCTGCACTGTAAACTAAAACTGATAACTTTACTTCCACGCAAATTACACTTTATCAGTAAAAATATTGTACAAAGAAGTGTCAAACAGCTTCCATCTCTTGCTGGAGTTGTTACTTATCTGTACTGTGCGATTATAGAAGAGGAATCAGAGTGATGAGAAATTATACTGTTTCACTTACTATGTATGACTACCTGAAAGCAGAAAGCATGAGCCTAGAATACCCCTTCTGTGAGCACTCTGAAGTGCTAGACTCTTATTTTGAAGGCTGTGCTTCACGTACTCTGCCAGCTAACTCTAAAGATGCAAAGAGGGAGGATTCTCTACTTTATTACATCCAGCCAGTATTTGTTTCAAGAATCCACTGGAGTTTTGGTGCTGATTAATTAAATTTCTTAGCTTTCTGTAATTAAGTCCAAATCTGTGTACCATCTACTGCATGGTACAAAACACTGCTATCTAAACCAAATGGATCTCATCAGGTCTGTAGTACATTAAAGTTGTATTCCACCAGTTTCTCGCATAGTAGCTTAAAAGAAAAACTGGAAGAATTCCAAACACTTCTACAATTTCAACATAATAATAAAAAAAGAAACCCCTCTGGTTCTCCTGAGACCTTTTGAGCTACTTAATACAGTACATGGATGCTAAAATTGTGCCTGCATCCAAGTCACAGAAACACTGTATACCTAAAAACAACGCACCCCCAACTTTCTCAGTGCACTACTTGTATGTACTTCGGGGTTGAGGGAAAAAGAGAGGAAAGAGGGAGAGTTCTACATCTGGCTTACATCAAACTATCAGATATTCAGTCAGTACTTACACATCCATGTGGTGGCCAGCACTCTGCAACCCATCCCCCATCTCCTTTTCTATTGCGCTCCACTCACTGTAGGAAAAACAAACGAGAAACAACATCACACATGAAGGGTAAGGGAAGTTAATAAGCTGCATCCTGTATATAGTTTCTTTCCAGGTGACACCTGAATGGAAACTGCCTCAAAGTTAGACTTGGCCAAACTGTTTTCTTCCTCTGAGCAGCAACACTGACAATGTGGCAAGGCTATTTACGGCACTCTGTTAAACAATTGTCCCTGCCACCTAAACTCATCCTCACAAATATACTTAGTTTGGGATTGGTTTTGAGCAGAAAGAGTCTCGTTTAAATAGCTAAAACTCAATTTAAAAAAAAAAAAAGATACTAGCACTTAAAATAAAGGCAGGGAAAAAAAAAAATAAGAGGGAACTTTCTAAAACAGAATTTGGTCCAACATGCTCATCAAGAAGAAACTAAGCTTTCCAGACCTGCAACACATCGGATAGAAGCTTCTAATTCCAAAAACCAGAAGGTGGGATTTGACATTTGCAAGCATTTTACTGCTCCTGAAACCATTTGCTGGATGTTGTTTTCTGTTTTCATAGTAGACTGCTGTTTAGTTCTATTCATTAAAAAAATATATCAACTTACAACTGTCTCATTACTGCCACTACCTATTCACATTAGGGCGATCATTCAGATAAAGAAGGAAACAGAGTTACAATAAAGATAGCAAGAGACTTGTTCTGGACACTCAAGTATGTACACTGCAACTTTAATTGTCTTCTCAGCTTTGTGAAACCTTATGAGATTTCTTACTCACAAGAATTACATCCACAACTCTTTTTACAAGAAAAAAGGAGGGGGTCCCCTTGTATTTCACATAATTTATGTCTAATGCATCTATTCTGTCCTTCACTTTTTCATAAACATTCCACTGTGCTGATGTTGACATTTGTTTGTCTTTCTGTTATTACAGAACTACACCTAATTTCACTTTAAAACCCCCAATGAGAAAGACATCTGCAATCCATTAACCCAGAGAATTAAATTTAGCACTTGAGCAGTGTGTAGAAGCAGGAGGTTTCCCTTAACCAGAAGTTTAGATTCTTTAATTCTCCAGTGAGATGGAAAACTTGAGCATGCAATTCACTCGTATAAATCAAAAAACGATTGGCAAATTCACTTTAAAAAGGCACTAAAATTGGATAGATACAGCTGTTGATTTTTAACCCTTAAAAGGGCCTAAAAGCTTTTCAGAGACAGCTGCATGAAAATAGGCAGTAAATTACTTTCTGAAGAAACAGAATGCCAACGCAACACCAAAAGCCCCAAGGGTCTGGAACACAAACAAGAAGCTAAAGTCTTCCACTTGAGACTAAGCTCAGCAGATCCAGAGATTGCTATATCAAACACAGAAATCTCATTAGCGCTGCAATATGAAGTTTTTCAAGTCAGGCATTTAAATGTTTCGGATATACTTTTCAAAAGCATAACAACATAACCAACAAATTCCCTACTCTCTCTCTCTTGAGATAGATACACATCTCTCTATGTACATATTTAAAAAAATGGATGAACTCTTACCTGAATACTCTTCCATAGTTGCCATGGACTTTATAGACACCATATAGCCGGTCTGCTACCCTCTAAAACATTATTTAGAGTCAATTTTTGGTCAACATTAAGTGCAATTGCTTTGTGAAAACCCATATACAAACTTCAAGATAAAGCCTTAATGTTTTTATACAGGTAAACAAGATTAGGCCTAAATCTAACCTAAGCCACTACTGAAGGAAAAATCAACAGCATTAAGTCTTTGAAGACTGAAGTCACAGTCAAGGCTGTATTGGAAAGGAACATTTCAAGTATTTCTTTGGAAGCGCCCATGTATGGGATATGCCTACGGAGACCACAAATAATCAAGTTACCTTCAGTTTTTGATAACCAGATGTAAGGCGTAGCCTCCTTTACCCGAATAATGCCAAATTTATATATGCAATTGCTTATTTAACATAAAGATGGCAGGACAAAAGTCCATCCTGTCACCAAGACCGTA